TTGAATTTATGGCCTTGGCATATATTATACAGGTGATTGATAAAGTGGTACCTGCATTAGTTGACCTTGCGGAGATTACAACTCTGGGTGATCACAAAAAGCTTGGTGATTCCATTGTTAATGTTCTTCAAGATTGCATCCAGTCACAAGGGTCAGGAAGAAGCTCAATCAGTAGTTGTGCGAAAGAACAGATTGAGGATCTATTAAATTCAAAGCAGAGATTAAAATGGGAAAAGAATATGCCCAAGGAAGATCTACATATTAAGCAGGCTGCAGCATTGGTGGTCAAGCTTGAAGGAAATTCCTTGTTCTCATCTGGAAATATTTCTGGAGCTGCATCAAAATACTCAGAAGCATTGGCATTGTGTCCTATGAGATCCAAGAAGGAGAGAGTTGTACTGTATAGTAATCGTGCTCAATGCCATCTTTTGCTTCAACAACCTTTGGCTGCCATAAGTGATGCTACTCATGCATTGTGTCTCCATAAACCTGTCAATCGTCATGCCAAAAGTCTCTGGAGACGAGCACAAGCTTATGACATGCTTGGATTAGCAAAAGAAAGTTTATTGGATGCTATTCTGTTTATAAATGAGTGCTCCCAGTCAAATGATCCTGATCTCTCACTGAGGCAAAATAAGGTTCCAGATTACGCCGAGCGATTAGTTAAGAAGCAGATGCGTGCTGCTTGGTTATTTCGAGAGGCAGCTATTAAGCATGGTGGTGTCCATAGTCAGGGAGATGGTGGTGATTTATATGGCCCAGAGACTGATGATTCTGAATGGGAGACAGCTAGTGAAAGTGATATAGGAAATGATGGAAGGGATGATATGGGCGATGATGACGATGGTGATTGGAATAATGATGATGAGGGGAAAGATTATAACAAACCTTCACTAAAAGGTATTTTCACTATATAATTTCCCACTAATATGCTTTTATCAATAATTTCCTGTCATTATCTGTTCCCACTTCGTGCATGTGATTATGCATTTATGAATATTTGATTTGGTTGGCGGGGATTGGCTAATATGCCAAAGAGTTTGCATCTTTGAAAAGCAAGATAATGACATATTTGGAGAGTAAAGTATAAGGTGTCACCATATGACATTATCCGCCTGCAACATTGTAGATCAACATGAATCTAACTGGATTATTGTATGAAATCAACCTGTTCCTTTCTTCCTGTTTAAAGTGACGAGTTTTCTTGTGCCATATTAAATGAAATATTTCCTATCAACCTGAAATGTTGTTATCTAATTTTTTGTGGATGACATTGTCCCAACCTAAAGGAACACCAATTGTGTATTTGATTAAATAGCAATGGTGAACAATTCTTACAGTTTGCTAAGATATATAAATGGTGGAGATTTATGTCAGGTTCGTGGATACCTTAGTCTGTATCTCTGGCTTTAGTTTAGATTTCTCGGAAAGAATAGGTCCTATATTACTCTGGATTTCTCGGAAAGAAATGGTCCTAAATTGATATAAACAAGTCCTCAAAAGAAAAAAAGAAGTCGCTGTCTGCATTCTATTTATTATTCCAACCCCACTTTTATCTGGAATATCTTTTTTTGTTTTACATGCCAGTTGCCAGCCTTTCCTTGTTAGCCAGAGGTACCTACGATATTAAGAGAAGTAGCATCAGTCAGCCACCATTCTTAACCCTGATCATCAGCCAAAAGTTTGTGATACAAGCCACGCTCCCCGTACTTGCTTTGTTACTAGTCTGATAAAACCATGAAATACCTCAGCTCATTGCCCTTTATGATGTCAGACAAGCTGATTTATACTCCTCTGCAAGCCTAGTAAATTTGATGGGAGAAGTTAATGCACTCATAACCTTACTAAATTATATCATGATATTACTAAATGACAATTCTTTTCTCCTATATATATCAACACAAAAAAATTAAAAAAATATTTATATATCCATTAAGATGCAAATTGCAATATTAAATATATCATTTTATTTTGTTAATGGTGTAATGCCTTGGTTTTCAAACTTTGGTTTCCTCCAGACATAAAGCATGGATACAATGTGCAACTTGCGGAAGAAGAACCATGATTCCACATGGTAATCCTTGCATTTGGTGCAATTGTTCTCCAGCATGAATGAAACAGGGTTGGCTCCTATGACTGTTGTGATATACTTGTTTTGTGGACTTTAAAGTGAAATTTCTAAGTCGCTCATTGCAAGATGCGGGATGGAAGTGACGACAGTTTTTGTTCTTCCGATTTGAGGTTGAGATTTCATTTACGTAAAGTTTTCCATATTCCATATTTGTTCTCCTTTTTTTTTTTTTCTTCTTGTCAAGTGTAAAAATTGAAGATTTCAAGTTTGGAGAACTACATTTGGAGGATGTGAAGTTTTTTTTTCCTTTTTTTTTTAATGGAGGTTTGTGTATATAAACCTTTTGTGCTTAAGTTTTCTGACTTCATTATTATTTCGATTGCTGTTTGCCTGATTAATTATCATTTTTTGGCCGTTTATTTTGGTCATTTCAGCCTTCCACGTGCTGCAGCCTGCAGGTGGTTTCTAAATAACTAATAATTTACTGAATACTGATCAATATGACTTAATGAACGATTTGTTTTATAGCTTCATCTCATTCTTGCCGTACCCAGCCCCCCCCTTTTTTTTTTTTTTTTTTTTTGAATTTTAGAACCCATGTGGTCAAAACGGGAACTTTAAAGGACGTTTGAATGGTTTTCTTCTAAAAAATATTTTTTTTAAAAAAGTTTTTTTTATTCATTTTATCCAAATATAAAATAGCTTTAATAATTAAAAAATTCATTCAAAAAAATAAGTCATAATTTTTTTTTATTAAAAGTTCATCCAAAGGTCAGATTGACAAATCTCAAAATGAGATTGTTTAAGAAAAAGGGTTTTATAATAGTTATGTTGTAGGAAAAATGATTGTGTGATATTATAGAGATTTGTTTTGCGTGTCGTAATTTTTTTTTTCAAAAAGTGTGGACCCCACAAAATGTTGTGTGTGTAGGAAAATTTGTTGTGTCATGTTAAACGACAAATGCAAATTCCTAAGAAAAATTAAGAAACTATTTAAATTTTAAGCTAGTAAATAAGGAGGGGTGGGATTCCACAAGGACAGAAACTAGCGGTTGGTAAGAAACTATTAAACCATGTAAGAATGCAACTTGCAACACAGAAAGTGACGGTAATTTTTTTTTTTGGGTACTAATTTTATTTATTATTCAGAAAGACAATTAAGTACATTAACTTAACTTTGAGCCAATTATAATTTATAACTATAACCGACCATTACATTAAGTGCGTAATGCCGTCCCCTTTTCTTCATCTTATTCAACATGGTAATGGGTAGAGCTGGCAAAGTTTACGTTCGCGCTATTAATCCATCAAAAAACTAAGTCAAGCTCCTCCTATTCTGCTTTTGAAAATGGATTGAAAAACTGAATCTGTCCCGTCAGTCAAAATATTTTTTTACACTAATCCATTTCAGTTCGCTCTTTCTCGTCATCAACTTGTCAAAAAACAAATCAGTCCATTCTGTTTTACGTTTGAGAGTAGGCTGTAAAACCCAACCAATCCCGCCCAGCTGAGTCCGTTTTACCAAACCCAGGAATAAGTCATCAATTGTTTGTCCCAAGAAAAAGAAAACTAGTTTATGAATTCTGAACCAATCAACAGACACGCCATATGAAGTGATTGTTTTTATACATACATTATCATTTGATTTATTTATTATGTTTTTATACATACCTTGTATTACTAATGCATTAAACTATAATTTTCATTTATTATTATAACCACTATTATGAAATGTGTAAGTGCAATGCAACCGCTATCCGCATTGAATTGAATGCGTTGGGTGGTTTCTCTCAATCCAATTCCTACTTATTCCTTAAAATGTTGGAAACGGGTTGGCCAGTAGTTTGATGTGTGTTTCTTCCGGTCCATAAATTCTTGGGTAAGTACTTATTGGGTAATATAACTCAGGACAACAAATTTTTTTCCCGATAAATTGTAATTCGTGTTGTTGTGTTTTTTTTTTTTTTTTTTTTTTTTTTATCTACTAGTGGGTCCCGTATTTTGTTGGGTATGTAGGACAGCTTTCTATTCTCCCACTGCGGAGAATTATCGAACCCATAGTTATTATAATTGACACATAAACTGTATTTATAATTTTTTGATTTGTTTTTTGTAAAGTTATTTTAGATAACTTTATCTAATGTTTATCAAAACGACGTCATTTTGGAATGAAAATTATGATATTTTTGTAATTTTAATTTATTTCAGGGTTATAATAGTCTTTATCATTCTAATTTTTTAATTTTTTAACCCAAAACGACGTTGTTTCGATGAACATTAGACAATGTTGTTTAAAGTAACATTAGATATTTTTTTCCGTTGTTTTTTTGTTATAACTTTTTATAATTATTTTATAGAAAATGTTATACTTATTATCTATTTTTCTTATTATTTCTTACTACCAAATCTTAACTGTTAATTTCTGTCAATCTAACTATTATAATTTATTAGAAATTAATAATTAATTAATAAGTATGACACCATAAATTACCACCGTTAGATTGACGAAAATCAACGGTTAAAATTTAATAATAAGAAGTAATAAGAAAAAGTAGTAACTATAATATTTTCCTTATTTTATTATTATCATCATTCGATTAAAATGAAATTAATGATTTTCACTCTATATTATTCTGTAACTATTGATTTAATTTGATCCAATAACAATAAAAATAATTATAAAAAAATGTTATAACTCCCTCTTTTTTAAGTTAAATTATATATGACCATGCATTAATTAGAGATCTGAATATGTTAATCAGAGACGTCAATTACTAATATTTTACATGTATTCATAGATTCTATACAACCCGACCCGATCCCTGACCGGCTGTGGCAAACTAGACTAACCCTGTGAAACACGTTCTTTTATTGCACTCCTCACTCTAATCTCTTGCATCCATCTCAATTCTCACATATCTTCACCAATTATTTCTCGAAGTTCCTCCGTTCGATTCTAACTTGGTTCGTCTTTTTTCTCTCAGGCGTGGTAGTTAAGTAGGTATATGAAATTCGCACACAGCCGAACATAACACCTAACCTCTTAAAGCTCCTTTTTCTATTTAAATAACAGGAACTCTGTGCCAAGCTCCGTGTGCTTAATTTTTGTGTTTCTTTGTTCCGAGCTTCAGGCACCGAATGAGAGCTATCAATTATATATCAGGTTTATTCAGTTTGGATTTGATGTGAATAAAAAAAAAAACTAATTTCTCTATTTTATATTTCTGTTATGCTACCATTTCCGATGCGCTTATTGAGTTTTTGCGGTTGATCAATGAAATATCATTGCAGACTCTGATTTGTTATTCTGATCGCTGCTAAGGACTCATTTTCACGAAAAATGAAGATGTTTGATGGTATTGAGCTAGAATATTCTATTTTGTAGCGAATATGCTCTCTCACAAAGCTTTAGACGCGTTGGAGGAGGAGGAGGAGCATGGTTAACATTATCGACCTTGAAGGTTAGCCACTATGTCAAATTGTCAATAGCGTTCATACTAGCATATAACGTGTCAGTCAATGCTTTATACATTGGGATCTACAATGGACAAATGGAGGATTTTAATATAATCCACATAATATTTTGGCTTTCTGGAAAGTTGTTTGCATATGTGTTAAGTTTAATTAAACTTAGTAATGAGTGATCTCTAAATGAAGGGTAGACTTACCACAACGATGAGTGTTGTCACCATAGGTTAGGTCCATGTACTTGAGTCTCTTGCAAAATGTAAGGTAAGACCTATAATTATGTTTTTGATCTGATGAGGTCATTATTTGGTACCCTGAACTGAAGCACCATGCTCATAAATACAAACATTGTGGTTGTGGGAATCTCATTGATGTGAATAGAGGAGCATGGTGCACCTAAAGCATGACACTTTGCCTTGAGATTTCTAATTCTTGCAGTTCTGGCTGCTGATCTATCATTTTGCTGTGGATTTTAATGTCTGCCAGATTTTATTGCTCCTGAATGTATGAGGAGCAATAACAGCACTTTTATTTTTCGGTAAAAGAGAGGTTGATCTTCTGCTATGTCTTCCCTTCAACTGATCCAGCTAACTCAGCATGGCCGGAATTTTCTGGCTTCAAGGAGGTATATTAACTTTCTCTATATGTTTTTGGTAATGATTAAGTTCATTTCTGTCATTGACTTTGACTTTCCGTTTAACAAAATTCGTTTGTCTATTGACCTACTATATCAAGTTTATGCCTAAGTATGGTCGGAAAAGTGCATGGTTGACACCCAGTAGGAAAATATTTGATCACATTCTCATAATCAGAAGTGGAATCTATAATTCTCAAAGCACAAAACTGTGTGACCTATAAAAGAATTGCTGGAGTGCTCAATACTAAATATATGGGATAAGATGATGCTTATGCTACATCAAAATCCCGGTTTTGTAATCTCAAGACTTCTAATTCTACTGGTGTTTAAACTCTTAGAAACTGGTAATTATCAAGAATTCTGGTTATAAGTAAAATGGTTGACCCTTAAACTTGCATTTCCCTGGGTATGATTTTCCACATGAAACATATACTTAAAGTTAAAAGCTTATCATCAGAGTAAACAGGAATCAGAAAAGTAACAAAGCTTGTCTTGTTAGGACCATCAGAAAGAAATTTCCTTATTGATCTTAAAATTTCTTTCTCAAAGGTTTTGCTTCTTTAAGGACAATGTATGTTGTGGTGGATTGTTTTTACATGAAATATTCATTTATTCTTCTTGAGTTTATCTGATAAACTTTTTTCCACTTTGATTATAGCCTTGTCTCCTGATATTGGTAGTAGTATCTTGTTTCTCATTATACGCCTTATTATTTAGTTTTCTGATTGGTATTAATAAAATCAATAGAATGCTGAAATAATTTTTCCTGTATATTTTTATCTCGTTAATTCATTGTCCTTGTGGTCTACGACAGAAAAACTTTGCTACTTGCCACTGGTATATTAGTTGCTGGTGGAACGGCTGCATATGTTCAATCAAGGTTTAGAGTTAATAAACATGATTTCTTTGGCCATCCAAATGAGCACAATAATGATAAAGAACTCACAAAGGAGGAGGTTGTGAAAGGAACTTCTGCACCACAAAATAAACAGAAGAAAGGAGGGTTGAAGTCACTTCAAGTCCTTGCTGCAATTCTTCTATCTGAGATGGGCCAATTTGGTGCAAGGGACCTTTTAGCTTTGGTTTCCATAGTGGTAAGCCTATTTTATTATGGATGATTATGCTTTATGCTTATCTTCAATATTTCAATGCAGAATGAGGCATAATTTATTATGTTTTATATATTCATTGTGATATTTGACTCTGTCAGTTTGTCTTTGAGATTAAGGAGCCAATGCCTGACTTTGTAAATCATCATCTGCAAACATTCATGTATACTCACTATGCAGATGAAAGATATTAATCAAAATAAAGAAAAAACTTTTGTCAGACCAGTCATTCATTTTTTGGATGAATGTGGAGTCTCCTGTAATGCATATCTTTAGGGAGCAGATATGATTCTCCTGCTGGTATGCAACATCAGGAGGGACTTGACTCTCTTTGGTGTTTTGTGCATACTGGAGGCAAGTTGGACTAGGAACTGTGGCTGTAGTTGAAAATCCGTGTCACCTTTTCATTATATGATTGGATGTGAGGGGTTTTTTCTTTTAATAGTGTGGTTTGCTTCCCTGAGAGAAATTTAAAAAGCTTGAAAGGACTAGTTTGTAATTAGAAAGAATAGTCACATTTTAAGTGTATCACTAAAATCTTTGACAAAGAATTTATGTGAACATAAACAGGAGTAAGGACATTGCTATGGAAATGTCAAAGACAATAAGCAATAAGTTCAGAAATTGACAAAGACAGCCTTAGAGAGGTTCAAAGAAACTACCAAAGCTATGTTTTGGAGCTGTAATCCATAAAAGGGCAGATAGGAAAGTGCTCTCTAGTATATTTTTTGGATGTTGAAAAATGATTGAGTGGAATGGATACAGTTATAATTTTTGAAATATCTGAATAGCCCTTATTACGAGGAGGTATATAAAGAATACAACAAACAAGCCTTATGCCTCTAGATGGTGTTTGATAAATGTATTAAACGATGTCATTGGGCTAAGACCAAATTTGCAATTTATACATTTAAAGTAAGGTCTTTTTGAATGTTTCTATAACTAGACTATAATCTGAATATGGAGAATAATCCATCTCTCTTACTTTAATTCAAACTGGTATGAGGCAAACAGAAAACTACAAGAAACAAACTTCTCCTCAGGAGGATAGATGGGGGGGACCATCGCGGCTCCTCTCTTCTCGAGAATTCATACATCCCTTATCAGTATATGGATAGCTTTTTCTCGAGCACAGGTATAGGTTCGGCCTCAATGGAAAAAAAAGAAAAAGGGAGCACCTAACAATGTATCTTCACAGACCAAGAACTAATAAAAACAGGGGAAAAAATTTACTGCAATTCCTATAATTTTTAGATGCTGTATATCTCATAAATTCGGGGGTTTCTTTGCAGCTGTATATCCCAAAATTTATGGGATTGCTTTCCAGCCATAAATCCCATAATTTAAGGTATTACTTTCCAACACTCCCCCTCAAGTTTGGAAATAGATGTCAGTCATTCCCAATTTGCTGACATCGGAATTGAAGTCTGAATTCAACAAAGCCTTTTTAAGAATATCTGCTTCCTACATCTTAGTTGGAATATAGTGTAAGGTGAATGTCGGCAAGCTAGGAAGGGCTGACATCTATTCCCCAGTTTGAGGGAAAGTGTTGGAAGCAATCCTAGACATTATAGGACATATGGATGGAAATCAATACCTGAAGTTATGAGATATACTGCTGAAAGCTATCCCTGAAATTATGGGATATACTGCTGGAATGCAATCCCTGAAATTATAGGATATACACATCCAAAAATTATATGGATTGTAGTTAACTTTTTTCCTTGTTTTTAGGGATTGCCCAATATTTTTGTTTCTTTTAGTTTTCTGCTTGCCTATATATATTATACAAACTAGTTTGAATTAAATCAAGAGAGATGGATTATTCTCCGTACTGTGATCTTAAATATGGTTTTGCTTTATTTTTGTATATGCTTATAAAAGTTTGCTAAGACATGTAGGTACAAAAGTTGCATAGGAATGCATCTTGTACTTGCATGGCTAAAGGAATGTGAACACATATAGTTGTACAGGTAAATTAAATTGAGTCAAAAAAGCTGAAACATTTATATTTGAATGTTAAGAGATCCTATATCTGCTAAATATATAGGCAAAGTATCCTTCATAATGCTTGAGCAATCCTCCCCTTTAAGCTAGCTTTTGGCGTTGAGTTAGGCCCTATCATTCTAACATGGTATCAAAGCTTACCCAAATAACCTGTCCCGGGCCATCCGTAGATGTCCAAAGCATCCTATGAACTTCATGCTCCATATAAACTTTCCCAGGCATGAGGGAGGTGTTAATGATCATCCTCCAAATAAATTGTCCTGTACATGAGAGAGGGTGTTAAGAGATCCCACATCCGCTAAATACATGGGCAAAGTACCTTTTATAATGCTTGACCAATCCTCCCCCCTTGAGTTAGCTTTTGGGGTTGAGTTAAGCCCAATCGTTCTAACATGGAATATCAAAACCACAATACACTATCCAAGTTTGTACGGAAACAAAGTGTTAAGGGAAGAAGAAAGGAGAGACTTTTAGCGGAATCCGTGTCTCAATGACATAACGGGGTCTGTTTAACCTAAAATAATAAATACAGATATCACTACTATTCTAATTACTGATCATCAAGATGCTATTTACATAGTTACCCACAATTATCAACTCTAAGGATATGAATATTAGACAAGCAGATGTGTGGTGGATTTCCAGAAATAAATAATAACGATATTAAAAGAATAAGATTTAAAATTTCACTTATTTGCAGGTGCTGCGAACCACTTTGAGCAACAGGCTAGCAAAAGTGCAAGGCTTCCTATTTCGTGCTGCTTTTCTTCGACGTGTGCCATTGTTTTTTCGGCTCATTTCAGAAAATATTCTTTTGTGTTTCCTCTTATCAACCATGCAGTCAACATCAAAGTACATTACTGGGAGTTTGAGTCTGCACTTCCGAAATATATTGACTAAACTTATTCATACTCACTATTTTGAGGTAGAGATTGCTGAATTATATGTGAAAGCTTGTATCTCTATTTAATTGTCTGTATTGAGCTTGTGATCCATTTATGCTTTCCTCCTTTCATATGAAGTATCCATATTTAGTTTTCAACTTTAATCCTTCTCATGTTTATTGTTTTTACCTGTGTACAAGTCAAGTCTGTTTTCTTCTATATTCGCAATGCATGACAGTTCACTTGCAATGTTTCCTGAATTTGCCTATTGGCCTTGAGGTCTGTTGCTTCCTTATGCTGCTTAAAGAATATGGACAGTAGTTGATGTTACAGACTCTTAATCTGCTGGATACATGACTTTGAACTTATAGGGATTTAGGTATAGGGCAGGAAAAAAAGGAATAAAGACTTAATAACATTATATGATCACTTCATATAAAACAAAGTAATAAGCCCTATTTATACTATATACGGGACTCCTAAAATAATGAAACAAATCATGAAATGTAAGAAAATAGGGAAACTATTCCTAAAAGAGTATCTAGGATACTCTAAACTATTTGAGATATAATCAAGATATTACACAATATTATCTAGATATTCTAACAAATAATAAAAAAAGGGTAAAAGAGGTTTGCGGTTAAGTTCTTTTTTTGGGCATAGCTTTGGGATCTTGTGCTGGTCCTGACTAGGACCATTCCAGATTCTTTCCCAACTCTTCTTGCATTATGTGGAAGTTAATTCAGAAGGTGTGACAGAAAAAGTATCAAAGTATCCCTACAGGTGCTTTTGAATTACTATTCTACCTTTTCCCAAAAGAAGAATAAGTATCCAGAATCCAGTAGACTTTTTAAAATTGCATGCATGCCAATTGCCTTTCCATGCACATATTTTTGGCGGTTATGGGAAGACTAGTCTGAGTCTCTTAACGAATGTGTTGTAATGTTTTATTTAGTTTTTGTTACAGCTTTCTGTTTATCATTTATTTTTCTTTCAGAACATGGTTTATTACAAAATATCACATGTTGATGGTCGGATAACTAACCCAGAGCAAAGAATTGCCAGTGATGTGCCAAGGTTCTGTTCCGAATTGAGTGAGATTGTACAGGATGATCTATCAGCAGTGACTGATGGACTGCTATACACTTGGCGGTTGTGTTCATATGCAAGCCCAAAATATGTCTTCTGGATATTGGTAACTGTGATTGAACTGTGCTGTTCTTATTTTTTTTTGAATTGTTGCTGATGGCTGGAGCCTGTTCAATCTGATGTTAAAATCAGTGCTTGTCTTCTCAATAACTGATGTTTCCTTTTCAGGCCTATGTACTCGGAGCTGGGGCAACAATCAGAAACTTCTCTCCCTCATTTGGTAAACTTATGTCCAGAAAGCAGCAATTGGAAGGAGAGTATCGACAGCTTCACTCTAGATTAAGGACTCACTCGGAAAGTATAGCATTTTATGTTGGAGAGAGGAGAGAAGAAGCTCATATTCAGCAGAAGTTTAAGACCTTGGTTAGGCATGTGAAAAGTGTGCTACATGACAATTGGTGGTTTGGCATGATTCAGGACTTTTTATTGAAGTACCTTGGTGCTACTGTTGCTGTTATATTGATCATTGAACCTTTCTTCTCTGGCCATCTAAGGCCTGACAGCTCAACTTTAGGGCGTGCAGAGATGCTAAGCAATCTAAGATATCATACTAGTGTCATTGTTTCACTATTTCAGTCTCTAGGAACTCTTTCTATCAGTGCAAGAAGGCTCAATCAACTCAGGTATATTTGATCTGCCATTTAACTTTTTAGAAGTTGATATTAGAGGATTTTATTTGTCAGTAGGCATGCATATGTCATATACTATTCCTTCATAAGGTTCTTTTTTTGTTGTTGTGTGTATACATGTTCTAAGTTATCTCTATGTTTGACAGTGGTTATGCTGATCGGATTCATGAGTTAATGGCCATATCCAGGGAGCTAAGCCTAGAGAATGAGAAACCTACACTGCAAAGACAAGGAAGTCGAGTTTGCATACGTGAAGCTAACTACATTAAATTTTCTGGTGTCAAGGCAAGTGAATTCTGCTGAACTATCTATGCACTTTGACTTTTCATATTTTAATTGTGATGTTGCTCCCTAAATGTAGGTTGTGACCCCCACTGGTAATGTCTTAGTGGATAATCTGACTCTTACGGTTGAATCAGGATCAAATCTTTTGATTACAGGTGATCATCTGAACTCTCTGCTTGGTGGTCCTTTCTAATTTTACTTTGTTTCCAAGGGTTGAGGCAGCCTTGAAATTGATGTTACTTATTATCCATTTCATTTCTTTTGTTGTCAGATTCATTTTCTTCCTTATCTAATTAAGGGGGGGGGGGGGGGGGTTATAATATTTTATTTTAATGTATTTTGGGGCTTTATTTTTATTGTGCCTAGTCAGTGTCTAGAAAGGTTCTGCATAACTTTTTTATGTATGCTTTTATGCTTGCATCTACATGGCTGGAAATATGGTAAGAGTTGTTCACCATTGGCTTCAAGTTTGATAATGTAGACTGTAATTTTATCTTGTTTCCTTTATCTCATTTTTATTGGCTACTTAAGTGCCTTAGTTGATGGATCCAATCAGGCTCTTCATCTGAGGCACATTTTCTGCAATTTCTGTGGGTGCCATCGTAAATTATTAATTGTTGATATGTTGGGAAGAAAAAGAGTATTCTGATAGGAATTTAATCCCTTCTATCAATTAAGAGGGAGACACTTTGTATATTAATAAAAGGAACGATTACAATAAGGTTTGCAACAGAAAAAAATGGAAGAGCCAAGGCTCCCTGCTAAGGAGATAATTCCACTAGCCCCCTCTACACCAGTAGGAAATTAACAAGTTAATCGATACCCCCTCACTCCTACTATCCATCCCATATAAACCCCTCCAGCAACGATGAAAGCAATAACAACAATAACAAACCCCTAACAAACCCCTCCACTCACTCTCTCTCCAAAAACCGTTTATTACAACTCATTACGCGTCACACAATTTCCCTATTCCTATTCTTTCTGTGATAAACCAGCATTGGTCCATTTCTCCTTTGCTTGGGCTGTTGTTCCTCTACATTCATGGGCTGCTCCTTTTCCTCTATACATGGGCCTGCATCTGTTGGGCTGCTTGAAGTTGCACGTCTCGTATCAATACCACCCTCTTTAGATACTGTCTTGTCCTCAAGACAGAACATAGGAAATTGCCCTCTAACATCATTAGCTTGCATCCAGGTAGCTTCTTCAACAGGTTTGGATTTCCAGAGAACCAACCATTCTTCCACAGTGCTGCTCCCATCCTTGACATGTCGCACAGCCAAGACAGATTCTGGAGCATGAATATTATTTTCCTCCACCGCCATACCTGCTGGTAATTCACCTTCAGCTAAAACAGATCCAATGGCCTTCCTCAACTGGGACACATGAAACACGAGATGGATGCGAGAACCTTCCGGAAGCAACAGCTTATAGGCCACTGCCCCAACCTTCTGCACAACCTGGAAAGGACCGTAAAATCGTGCAGCCAACTTGGGGTTGATTCGCCTAGAGACGGACATCTGCCTATGTGGTCTCAGCTTGACATAAACCCAATCTCCGATGGCAAATGCTATGTCCCGACGGTGAATGTCAGCCTGTTTTTTCATAGAAGATTGGGCACGAATCAAATGGTATTTCAGCTGACGTAGAGCTTCATCTCTATCATATAAGACTCTGGATACAGCATCCACTTGGGTCTCTCCCACCAAATAATGTGTAATATTAGGAGGAGGACGACCATAGACAGCAGCAAAAGGAGTAGTGCCAATGGAGCTATGGTAAGATGAATTATACCAGAACTCAGCCCAGGAAATCCAAAGTGACCACAACTTGGGTTGCTCCGAAGCAAAACAACGTAAATACGTTTCAAGGCAACGGTTTACCACCTCGGTTTGGCCATCCGTTTGAGGATGATAGGAAGTACTCATTTTTAAAACAGTCCCTTGCAGACGGAACAATTCTTTCCAAAAATTGCTAAGGAAAAGAGGATCACGGTCACTTATGATGGACCTGGGCACGCCATGAAGGCGAACAATTTCTTTGACAAATAGGTCAGCAACGTGCTTAGCAGTAAAAGGATGCTTAATCAAAATAAAGTGAGCGTATTTGGATAAACGATCTACTATTACGAAAATCACCTCATAACCTTGGGACTTAGGGAGCCCAGAGATGAAGTCCATGGAGATATCCTCCCAAATCAGCTGAGGCACAGGCAATGGTTGAAGGAGCCCAGCAGGAGCCAAAGTCTGATGCTTGTGTCTTTGACAAACGTCACAGGATTTCACAAAAGCCATAATACGTTTTTGCATTCCCTTCCAAAAAATACCACTAGCAAGCCTTTTAAATGTATGGGTAAAACCCGAATGGCCACCGGTTGGTGATGAATGGAATTCCCTTAACAACTCAGGAATGAGAGAGGAGTTGGAAGACAACACCATGCGGTTTTTATAAAACAGCAACTCTCCATGTAAAACATAGTCACCAGGAGCAGCTTGTCCAGATTGGAGGGCTGTGAGTATACCCTGCAAAAACAGATCAGACTTGTACTCAGCCTTAACGACATGCAGATCCAACCAGTAGGGACTGGATACCAAACTCGAAAGCTCAAGGTTCCCTGGTTCCATCATTCTAGAGAGGGCGTCCGCAACTTTATTTTCAGGCCCAGGCTTGTATACAACCTCAAATTGGTACCCCATTAGCTTAGATAGCCAACAATGTTGATCAGAGGTGGTGATACGTTGAGACAATAAGTGCTTTAAGCTCTTGTGGTCTGTATACACAGTAAAGGAACGCCCCAAAAGATATGGACGCCAGTGTTGTATGGCAAGGGCTAAGGCCATAATCTCCTTCTCATATACTGACTTTGCAAGATTTCTGGGAGCGAGTGCTTTGCTATAATAAGCTATAGGTTGCTTCTCTTGCATTAACACAGCACCTAGACCCGTACCAGAGGCATCACACTCAATCACAAATTCTTTAGAGAAGTCAGGCAAGGTGAGGACCGGAGCAGAAGTCAGTAGCTCCTTAAGTTGATCAAAAGCTGCCTTGGCCATATCATTCCAAAGGAAGCCACCCTTCTTAGTGAGTTCAGTCAACGGTTGAGCAATCTTGCCATAGTTTTTAATGAAACGTCGGTAGTAGCCAGTCAGACCCAAGAAACCACGAACTCCCTTCACATTACGTGGTTGTGGCCAATCAATTACAGCCTGAATTTTTGAAGGATCCATGGCTACTCCTTGAAAGGAAATCACGTGACCCAAATACTCTACAGACACCTCTCCGAAGCTGCACTTCTTCCTGTGAACTACCAGGTGATGTTCCTGCAGCAATGACATAACTTCTGCCAAATGGCATAGGTGAGTTTCCCAAGTGGGACTATACACAAGGATATCATCAAAAAAAACCAAAACAGTGTGGCGAAGTTGCTTCCTAAACACTGAGTTCATGGTAGATTGGAAGGTGGACGATGCATTTTTTAGGCCAAAAGGCATAACAAGATACTCGTAGTGTCCATCATGCGTACGGAACGCAGTTTTGGGAGTATCCTCCGTTCTAACCCTGATCTGGTGAAATCCCGATTTCAAGTCAATTTTTGAAAAGTATCTAGCACCGTAAAGCTCATCCAGCAACTCAGTAATGGTAGGAATTGGATACTTATCTGGGATGGTGACTTTGTTCAATGCCCGATAGTCCACACACATCCTCCAAGTTCCATCTTTCTTCTTGACTAGGATGACTGGACTGGAAAAAGGGCTGACATTGTGTCGAATTTCCCCCTCTTGTAATAACTCCTTCACTTGCCTTTCAATCTCATCCTTGTGGTGATGAGCATATCTGTATGGTCGAACACTGACTGGACCCGTGCCTGGCATCAGGTTGATGGCATGGTCATGCTCTCGAAACGGTGGTAGCCCCTGTCTCTTGTCGAAAACACTCTGGAACTGATCAAGGACCTGTGTCAGGTTCCTTTGCTGCTCCTCGGTCAAAAACGTAAGTTTTGACTTCTCAGCCCCAATTTCCACTCCTTTGTCCTTAGTTTCTGCATCATGCAACAGTCCTCGAAGGGCTACAGGTTGAACCCCAGCACGAATCTGGTACCCTCGAAGCAGGACCGTCTTCCCTTGGTGAGAAAACTGCATCGTCTTCTTCTTCCAGTCTTGACACACTTCGCCTAGAGTCTCCAGCCACTCCATGCCTAAGATGAGATCGACACCACCCAAATCTAAAAGATAGGCCCCTATCGTCATACGATGTCGTCCTAATTGAAGTCTGAGTTCTGTGCACCGTCCTTTAGAGAAACGCCGACTACCGTCTCCAAGACAAACGCTGAACTCCTTGGTGTCTTTGACCGATAGGTTTAACGAATCGACGAGCTCTGGAGCAATGAAGTTGTGGCTCGCCCCACTATCGAGTAACACCAAGATCGGGAATCCTTCCAACTCACCTTCGATCTTCATCGTCTTCGTTTGGACCATCGCGTCAGGCTGTTGTCCGCCGTCGTTCTCCGTCTCGTAAGTGACATGGTTGCATTCCATCTCCCAACCCTCGGTTCCCTCTTTCTCTTCTGTACTGGTAGGGTCATTTGGTTCCCCTACGACGTCGTCCTCTTCCCATACCAGCAAACGCAAGTGTTTGTCTGGACATTGATGGGTTGGGCTGTAATTTTGCCCACACTTAAAGCAAAGGCCCTTGGCCCTCCTCTCCATCATCTCATTATGGGGTAGGTTTCTGTATCCTTTAAAATTGGGCCCACTTCTCCTGTCACCTGGCCTGTTGGGCCTCTCCTCTGGTTTAGTTGCTTGGGCTGGACCTCCTACCGTACGATCAGTTTTATTAATGTTAGAATATTAGATATGATATGATTAGATATGATTGGATTCCGTCTTATCCGTAAATATTCTGACTGTATTAGGATTAGGTTTGGGCCTTTCACTTAAGCCCATTTGGCTTAATCCGCAGTAAAGTTGACCATTCTGTGTTTTATAGGATTACATCTCCTGATAAGTGTATCTATTTGTTAGTCTATGTTGACGACATTATTCTCACCGGAAGTGATCAAGACGGAATTCGTCAGTTAAAACAACATTTGTTTAGTACATTTCAAACAAAGGACCTTGGGAAGCTGCGTTACTTCTTGGGAATTGAGGTGGCGCAATCTAGACAGGGCATTTCTATCTGTCAAAGGAAATATGCCCTGGATATCCTAGAAGAAACTGGTATGTTGGGGAGTGAACCAGTTGATACACCTATGGATCCTAATGTCAAGTTATTGCCCGGACAGGGGGAGCCGTTATCTGATCCTGGACGTTATCGGAGGCTAATTGGGAAGCTCAACTATCTTACTGTGACTAGGCCAGATATTTCTTTCGCTGTTAGTACGGCTAGTCAGTTTCTTGATTCCCCTTGTGATTCACATTGGGATGCTGCTGTGAGGATCCTCCGATACATCAAAGGAGCACCAGGAAAAGGTTTGTTGTATTCAGATCAGGGAAATACAGAAATTTGTGGTTATTCAGATGCTGATTGGGCAGGATCACCCTCGGATAGGCGCTCTACTTCTGGCTATTGTGTCTTCTTTGGAGGAAACTTAATTTCGTGGAAGAGCAAGAAACAACCTGTTGTTGCTCGATCTAGTGCAGAAGCTGAGTATCGTGCAATGGCAAATGCTACCTGTGAGTTAGTCTGGTTAAAGCAGTTGATTCAGGAGCTTCATCTTTGTGAACAGAAACAACCCATGACACTCATCTGTGATAATCAAGCTGCGCTACATATATCCTCTAATCCTGTCTTTCATGAGAGGACCAAACATATAGAGATTGATTGTCACTTCATTCGAGAAAAGACTCAGTCAGGAGAAATCAAGACTGCTTTCGTCAACTCCTCTGATCAACTAGCGGATGTTTTCACTAAAGCTCTTAGAAGTCCTCGGGTTGAATACATTTGTAACAAGCTTGGTGCTCATAATATATATGCACCAGCTTGAGGGGGAGTGTTAGAATATTAGATATGATATGATTAGATATGATTGGATTCCGTCTTATCCGTAAATATTCTGACTGTATTCTGACTGTATTAGGATTAGGTTTGGGCCTTTCACTTAAGCCCATTAGGGTCTCTATATATTGTAACTCTCTGACACAGATCAATACACAACATATTATTCTTCTATTATTTTATATTCAAGTATTAACAAAACGGTCACCGCCTGTTACAGTCACCACTCCTCGACGAAAATGACTTGGATCGCACGGTGGTGGTTTCCACTTCCCTCCTGACAATTTACGCTCTACCGTCCTGGCGATGGAAATCATTTTGTAGCGGTTGGGAGGTTCTAGGGACAGCACCTCCAATTTAATTTCTTCCTTGAGTCCACCGACGAAGAGACCCATGTACTGGTCATCAGGCATAAGGGAGATCTGAGCTGATAACATTTCGAAAGATTCAACGTATTCATCCACCGTACCTCCTTGTATCAATTCTTTTAATTGAGCAAAAGGATTGCCAAAATGACCGTCACCATAACGATCAAACAAGGCGTGCTTGAATCGTTCCCAATCCAGCTGTGCATCAGATTCCTTGAGCACCTTGAACCAGTGCCAGGTGGAACCTTCCATGCAGATCTGGGCATACGAGATGCGCATGGTAGGAGGAGTGCCCTATACAGAAAAGTAAGCCTCAGCCCTCGCAGCCCAACCTACCGGATCTGTCCCGGAGAAGACTGGAAGCTCGATTCGTTTGGCCTTAATTCGATAATCGTCACTCTGATTCTCAGTATGAGAAATCTTGACGGGTGTTTCGTTCTCACCATTGTTTTCTATCCCCTTTTGTTTCGAATTTCCACTGCTTCCTGCTACAGTGATAACCGGAATTCCTGTCGATGAACTATGATTCTGGAACCCATCTTTCATCTCCATGTGTAATACGTGTAAACTCTTCGCGATATCGGCGACGCTGGTTACCAAGGTGCCAAGCTTAACGGAGTGATCCGAAAGCTGAGTGGAATGGCCCTTTGACGTAATCTCTTGTGAACGGAGGATGGTCTCCTGAGTGCGAAGCGAATTTTCCACTGCTGTCATTCTATTTTCAAGGGTGTCTACGCGTTGTGAAGTCATTCTGGTGAGCATACACTACTCAACGTTACACTCCCTCACACAATCACAATCAACTCTCAATGAAAGCACCAATTTGATAGGAATTTAATCCCTTCTATCAATTAAGAGGGAGACACTTTGTATATTAATAAAAGGAACGATTACAATAAGGTTTGCAACAGAAAAAAATGGAAGAGCCAAGGCTCCCTGCTAAGGAGATAACTCCACTAGCCCCCTCTACACCAGTAGGAAATTAACAAGTTAATCGATACCCCCTCACTCCTACTATCCATCCCATATAAACCCCTCCAGCAACGATGAAAGCAATAACAACAATAACAAACCCCTAACAAACCCCTCCACTCACTCTCTCTCCAAAAACCGTTTATTACAACTCATTACGCGTCACACAATTTCCCTATTCCTATTCTTTCTGTGATAAACCAGCATTGGTCCATTTCTCCTTTGCTTGGGCTGTTGTTCCTCTACATTCATGGGCTGCTCCTTTTCCTCTATACATGGGCCTGCATCTGTTGGGCTGCTTGAAGTTGCACGTCTCGTATCATATTCCCATCCAGTGGGATAAGCCTTGGTGGTTGTTGTTATTGTACTAGTTGTAAATCTGTCCAAAATAACTTGAGCACTGTTGTTACTCTAAATAATCTATTACCAACTTTTACCCTAATGCATTCTCCACATCAGCCACCATTATGTTGTGTTAAGAAAAGAGGAAACGAGAGACATTTAGTGATCCGTGTATTGAACTACACTACAGAGACTGAATTATATGGATGAAAAGTGATATCCTAATCCGACCATGGACTAGCACAACCTTCAAATCCATGGACTCACCTTTTGCATCATATGTTACCAATTTTTTGCTTACCAGTTTTATAGGCTTGACCGGACTGGTTGTGGTAGTTCACGTGATGCAAAAGTTTTTCTCCGTGTGGACTAGCACAAATCCTAACGTGTCAAAAAAAATAAAAACTTACACCCGCCTGGTAAATAGTTTCACTTTCCTCGTTGGTCATTTTACTCTGAAGAACACATGGATTTGAAGGGGATGGATAATTAGATATTTGGGAAATTGAATGACTAAACCAGAGCTGTCATGATACTTATCTGTTTGGCTTTTATTTGACAGTCTGAAAGCATGATGTTTCACTTGTATAATTGGATTTTAAAATAAGATTTCTGATGGTCAAATGTTTTGACATGTCATTCACAATTCTTTTGGTGAAGGTCCAAATGGCAGTGGAAAGAGCTCGCTCTTCCGGGTTTTGGGAGGTCTTTGGCCTTTGGTATCTGGACATATTGTGAAACCTGGAGTTGGATCTGATCTTAATAAGGAAATCTTTTATGTGCCACAAAGACCATACACTGCTGTAGGTACACTACGTGATCAGTTAATTTACCCTCTTACTGCAGATCAAGAGGTTGAATCACTTACAGATAGCGGAATGGTGGAGCTATTGAAAAATGTAAAACTCACATCTAATCCGACTTCTCAATGCATATAAATGTTTAGCATATGTTGATTTAATGTCATTTTTCATTGACACTGTTATTAGTCTGAATTGTTTGTACATGTATTCAAGGTTGATCTTGAGTATTTGTTGGACCGTTACCCGCCTGAAAAAGAGGTAAACTGGGGTGATGAACTTTCGTTGGGTGAGCAACAAAGATTGGGCATGGCTAGACTTTTCTACCATAAGCCTAAATTTGCAATTCTTGATGAGTGCACAAGTGCTGTAACAACTGATATGGAAGAACGATTTTGCGCTAAAGTTCGAGACATGGGAACATCGTGCATTACCATATCACATCGTCCAGCATTAGTTGCATTCCATGATGTGGTTTTGTCCTTAGATGGTGAGGGAGGCTGGAGTGTTCATCATAGAAGGTTGGAACTTTACTATGCTGCTTATCATTGTTCTACTTCGATGCTGTTGTTAAATATAAGATTCATATTTAAACTCCAGGGTGGACTCTTCTACTGAATTGGGGATTGATACAATGAAGGAATCAGAGACAAATCGACAGAGTGATGCAAAGGCAGTTCAACGAGCATTTGCCATGAATAAAGAGGTTTATATATATTTTTTATTCTTATTTTTATTTTTATTTTTTTTATTCTTGTGATATCTTCATTGTTCATTATCTTACATTGATTATGAAGAATTCCCTACTTTTTTACTAGGATTCTGCATTCTCAAATTCGAAGGCACAATCGTATATTACAGAAGTGATAGCATCATCTCCATCTAATTATCGTAGTACTTTACCATCCGTTGTTCCCCAACTCCGTGGTAATACAAGAGCATTGCCAATGAGAGCAGCTGCCATGTGCAAAGTATTGGTAAGTATTTCGGTAGATATACTCTTACGAGATTTACTTTTTATTTGTGTTGGTGGACAATTTCCATCACGTTGATTAATTCTCTATGCTTTTGAGCTTGTTATTGTTGAAAATCTTAGGTATTGGTATTTTGCTGTGGTAATTATAAATTTATAAGCCTAAATATTCATCCCTACTCTTTTTAATCGATTTAATTTTCTACGATCCTTGCAACCTACAGTTCTAGTATCTACAAATTGATAGTGGCATTGTTGGGTAGGTTGGCCTACATGAAGTTTTGTTTTTAGGCTTTCATTGGTTGCAAAATGGATATATTAGAGATATATAAAACCATTAATGTAGCCTTACCTAACAGCTTAAGCTCTTGGGTTGAATTGGTTCTTTACATGGTATCAGAGTTCGGTGTCACAGATTCTTAGCACAGGTAGCTGTTCAACTCATGTGAGGGAGCATGTTAAAGATATATAAAACCATTAATATAGCCTCACCTAGCAGCTTAAGCTCTTGGGTTGAATTGGTTCTTTACATGATACAATTATAATACTCTCAAGCTATATTGCTGGGATAGTGAAGCTACTTGAAATCAGGATGTTTGATTTTGGCAATGGTTTAGGTCTTAGGTTGTATTAATGGTGGTAATGTGATTTTATTGAATCTAACTGAGTTTATCTTAAGATCAGGGTGGCTTGCTAAATTTGGATGTTATTTGAGGACTACTATAGTGAGGTTTTAGGCTAGAAAGATTTAAGCAGGAATCAGTTAGGGCTTTGAAACAGAAATGTAAATATCTAAAATCTCTGGATAATAGAACAGATCTGGGCAAGTTGTTATTAACAAGTGGCTTCGATACCAACAGCGTGGGGGAATTGAATTTCAAGAAGTTATTAACTCTTCCAAAAGCTTTTAAAGCTGCTAGGTGGAGGTCCACGAGTGGTTTGTATCTTGAAACTCCAAAATACCCCATCATGCAAGTGTCTATGGACTTGAAGTTTGAATAATGCATAGGCCTATCTACTAGTTGATATCTTTAAGATTTCTTTACTCTTAAAGCATATATCTCGGTGAAACATCTGCAGTCAAGTGTATCTAATGTAGTGAAATGAATGAAACGTGGCCATTTGTGCACTGTCTCCTTGATGACTTACTATGAGCCGACTGCCTTACGAGAGGATGTGCTATGCACATTAGTTAATCCATAAATACATTATATCAGGTGCATCTTTTTTATGGGTACTGCATGCTTTCAGGTGCCCACCCTACGTGATAAACAAGGAGCTCAACTACTTGCTGTTGCTTTGCTTGTTGTTTCAAGAACATGGATCTCAGATCGTATTGCATCACTGAACGGTATTTTCCCGTCTTTGACTTTTCATTATTCTAAGAGACCATGTGTATAATGTTCCTGATTATGTTCTCAGGTACTACTGTGAAGTTTGTTTTGGAGCAGGATAAAGCTTCCTTTATTCGATTAATCGGTTTAAGTGTTCTCCAAAGTGCTGCATCTTCTTTCATTGCACCTTCCATAAGGTAATTTGGCATTCACAAAAAACACAAGAAATAGCTTCATTAAAACCAAATCCTATATGGACATATGTCTAAATTGTTGCTTCCATGAATTAATTTTTTTTTTTTTCTCGTTGAGATTAGGTATTTGATAATGAGTTTATGACTGGATAAATGGATATCTCAATACCATCTTATTTACATGTTATCCTTCAATTCATTAGTCAAAGAATCAAGTCATGATTCTGTAATGAATACATGAATTTCTTCAAGAAATTGGTCTTAGATGCTTGTGAAATGTTTCTCTATTATTATGCCTAAATTTTAGTAATCTGCTTAAAATTGTTCACTCGTTAATATTTTACATTTTAATTTCTTTCCTTTGACGTAATGCTTGGTTACGATGCAGCTCAACTGTCCTCTTGTGTTGAGTTCACATCCCACTGATTTCTGTATTGTATTATTCCCATATTATTGATAGTACTTAAAATATGAAAAAGATAAGAAAGTTAAACAGATAATTTAATGCATTGAACTGAAAAAGAAAAAAAAAATTGAATTGGTTTACCTACCAAGAGTCTTTCAAAGAGTAAATTTGAGAAAATTATGTCTTGTTCTTCAGACACTTGACTGCCAGGCTGGCCCTAGAGGGGCGGATTCGTTTGACGCAACATCTACTCAAGAACTACTTGAGAAACAATGCATTCTACAAGGTAACTATTCATAAATTCCTTACCTTCACTTCCTTTTTTTCTTAACACCGTAAGCATGTTTTGTGTTTGTGCTTGAATAATTAGTTGTTACTAATAAATCACAAGGAAGTATTGTTTTTATTATTGTTACATTGTATGTGGAACCTTTTCTTATAAATCATTTTGTATCTCAGTTAGTCTTATTGTTATCTTTATATTATACTATTTCCCCTTCAAATCTAACTCTGTTTTCAACTTTTTCCTTGACCTGTTCATAGTTCCACTGTGTCCTCAACTGTTGAGTTCGTAATACACTAGATGAAAAACTGGCAATTTTAAGGGGTAAAGGCATAGAGAATTAGGGATTGGATTGGAGTTGGTAGATTTTGTTGAGGACTGAATAATTAGATTTAGGCTGGAATCATATACTCATAAAATTTGGGAAAATAAAATTTGTTTGACGCAGGAATTTGACATTCTCAAAGGGTCAATTCCTATTTCCTGGGAATCTTAACTGATGCCGCAGACTAAATAGCCCCTTATCAATGGTTTGAAAACATTGAATAGGTTTAAATTTTACAAACAAAATATATGATGTATTATTCTTCTCGTTATGTTATGAATAATAAAATCTATTCACTTTGCTTTTAAGCTCTTTAGGCATATGGCTGGGGCTTGGTTTCAAATTCATGTTCCATGCATATCTTTGTAGGTCTTCCACATGGCAAGCAAAAATATTGATGCAGATCAGAGGATAACTCATGACTTGGAAAAGTTAACAACAGACTTGTCAGGACTGGTCACTGGAATGGTAAAGCCATCTGTCGATATTTTGTGGTAAGTATTTCACTTGCAAAATTGAGTTACTACATTACTATGATTTTTTAACTAGCACATAAATTAACATATCTGATGCATGTTCTTTGCTTTTATTTACTTAACTTACTAAGTACTTTTGTTATTCTTAAGGTTCACTTGGAGAATGAAGCTGTTAACTGGTCGGAGGGGAGTTGCTATACTCTATGCTTACATGTTACTTGGTCTGGGATTTCTAAGAACTGTTACTCCAGATTTTGGTAATTTGATTAGTCAAGAACAACTTCTTGAAGGAGCATTTAGGTAAACTCATTCTAGTGTCTGCTGACTCTATCTTGGAGCTAAACAAGTAGTGGTGCGGAAATTATTCTTACCTGTTTCTACTTGATGCTTTTCTAGGTTCATGCATGAAAGACTTTGTACTCATGCTGAATCTGTTGCTTTTTTTGGAGGTGGTGCTCGAGAAAAAGCTGTGAGCATCCTAACTTCTAACAAATTTAATGTCTTTATTTTTTATTTTTTTTGAGTTTGTGCTTTTTTGAGGGCTTAGAAAAGTTGTGATGAAACTTCATGCTTGGTACAACAAAAATGTGGGAGGGTTGAAAAGAGTACAGCTCATTAACAATCCACTCCTCAAATTTTAGACACTCCCATTGCATGAAAGTGAGTTGAAAGTATTTTCACTCTGTACCAATTAATAAAGGGTGGTTGAGTAACCACTGTGAGTGGAGAGATTGTGATAGGACACACCAACCTTCATCATGCTGAGTGTCCATAATAAATGGAGGAATTTTATTATGGGTGGATTCGGTATTAATTACGAGGCATTAATCATTGGTGATTCTGTATTTAGGGGGTCGATTTATGGTAATTAATTATGTAATTATGAGCGATTGATTCTGTAGTTATGGGTGATTGATCTTTTATTTATGGGGAATTTGTTATAAATAGGAAAAAGAGGTCATTAGGCAAACTATTGAGTGATAGAAATTGGGAGTTGGGAGAGACCAGATGCCTATCAAAAGCCTTGGGCAGGAAGGTTGCAGACCCTTGAAGTTCTGCAGTATTCAGCCCTTATTTTATCTTATTTTGAGTGACTAGATCCATTGTACTTGGAATTTATCCCTATTTTGTTATAATAAAATTCTTTGGTCCTATCAGATTGTTTTCGCAATTAGATTCCCAGGTCACAAAGCATTAATCATACCATTTCACTGAGGCTCACGTTCACCTTTTACCAGGCAATGAATAGTGAATTTAAAACTTCCCCATCTCCTGTGTTCAATCCCCTCTTAACTTTTCACTTTTTCATTTTCCACCTCCTTGATTAAGCATACCCTAAATTGGGGCCATGTTTATGTGTTTTATCAAATTTTCTTTGATGTTAGGCTCTAATATGGGGAAACGTAATTAGTTTTTAGTTTGACAGGAAAAGTTCATCATATTTATTTTTCTTTAGCTTATCCTTTATACATTATGAAAGAGGGTGAGCCTTGAGTAGTGAAAAACTGCTCCTTTGTGACCACAAGGTTCTGGATTCGAAGTCAGGAAACAATTTCTTTGCAAAAAAAAATTAAAGTGTGAAACTGTGTATAAAGATTTCCCTCATCCCTTACCTCGCAATTTAGTGTTCAGTGGGGAGTGGTTTTTATCCTTTATACATTATTATAATGGCTGGACCACATTACTTTTAATCAGGAGCAGATTAAATCTTTGGTTATTGTCAATCTATAAATTTTACTATCTTAACGTTGAGCAGATGGTTGAATCTCGATTCAGAGAGCTTCTTAACCACTCCAAGTATCTCTTAAAAAAGAAGTGGCTGTTTGGTATACTGGATGATTTTATAACAAAGCAACTTCCACATAATGTGACTTGGGGCTTGAGCTTGTTGTATGCTATGGAACACAAGGGAGACCGAGCATCAATAAGTACTCAGGGTAAGATTTTTTGGATTGTGTCATTTACTCTCTTTATCTTTCTATTATTTTTCTCCTCTCATGCAGACAATACTATATTATTCATACAGGTGAGCTGGCACATGCATTGAGGTTTTTGGCATCTGTTGTTTCTCAAAGCTTTTTAGCTTTCGGTGATATTCTTGAATTGCATAGAAAGTTTGTAGAGCTCTCTGGTGGAATTAATCGGATTTTTGAGCTTGAAGAACTTCTGGATGCAGCGCAGTCTGGTATTTCATTATCCTTAGTTTTTTAATCAATCATATCAAACAATATCTTGCTGTTTCTATGGCAGTAACTCTTTTTAATTGTCATCACATGCTAATAAGACCTTTTATCATACAGAGAATTTCATTAGTGCTAGTGCTATACCTCCAGTGAGGGATGTTCATTCCACAGATGTCATTTCCTTTTCAAAAGTTGATATCATAACCCCTGCTCAAAAGATGTTGGCCAGGGAATTAATATGTGATATTGAGCGTGGGGAAAGCCTACTTGTTACTGGTTGGTATTGTTATTTTATTTGTTTTGTCCCTTTAGTAGATAAAATTCTAATGTGATTTAAATATCAATCTTACATGTATCATATTTTAAAAGGTCCAAATGGAAGTGGAAAAAGTTCCATTTTCAGAGTTCTTAGAGGACTCTGGCCAATTGCCAGTGGAAGACTCTCTAGACCATCTGAAGATGTGGATCAAGAGGCTGGACCAGGTTGTAGCATCTTCTATGTTCCTCAACGGCCGTACACATGCTTGGGAACTCTGAGGGATCAAATTATATACCCCCTGTCCCGTGAGGAAGCTGAGGTTAAAGCATTGAATATGTATGGAAAAGGTAAATATCTTCGGTGGAAGAAATAGGGCAGGCCTTAGAAATGCCTGTGTGGGTTAAAACTTCTGACTATACATTAGCAACATTTATTTGATTTGACTTGACTAAAGTTTAAAATGATGCCACTGTTCTACTTTTCATTCATCACCACTAGCTGAGAATAAGTTCACTTCTGAGCTGTTCTACAGTTGTTGTAATCCAATGGAATGATGTAAGCATTAGTCATGTTGATATTGTTGAAAATTTCTCCTTTGCTTACATTTTATTTGGGGAAAATTAGTCTGGTCAGTTTGCTTTTTCGGATGAATAATAATTTCTTGTTCTCTTCTCTATCTGTTTAAAAGCGTGCATGGGGTGCATTTTATATTTATTTTGCTTTTCCATTTCAGCTCTGATAATTGTAATCTTGCTAATTCAGGTGAAAAAAATGCTGACACCAAAAAATTGTTGGACACACGCTTGAGACTTATCCTAGAGAAGGTTCGATTGAATTATCTTCTAGAAAGGGAGAAAAGCAATTGGGATGCCAATTTAAACTGGGAAGACATTCTTTCTCTTGGAGAACAGCAGAGATTAGGGATGGTATGTGAATTTAATCACTCGTAATTTTAGAGAGAATATATTAAATTTCTTGAATAATTTTTTTTTTCATATAGTACAGGCGTTAAAGACCTCAATTCCTTAAAGGACAACACTTATTATCTATTTATGATGCTCTTTATTTTGGTTTTTTAACATTACACCTTCTGTTCTGTAAGGCACGCTTGTTCTTTCATCAGCCCAAATTTGGTATCCTTGACGAGTGCACCAAGTATGTACCATTTGCCTATACCTTTTTCTCTCCACAGAAACTGTTGCTTCTTACTCATTATTAACCTTGTTTCCATATTCTTCCTGAAAAATTAATGTTGGCAGTGCAACTAGTGTTGATGTCGAAGAACACCTATATGGGCTTGCGAAGGATATGGGAATCACGGTTGTTACTTCCTCACAAGTAAGATTGAATATATAAGTATATTGTTTAAAAAATAAATGAACTTCTGTCATCGTAAATTTAGAGAATAAAAAACAGTTCAATAGATAGTTCTTTCACTACAATCATTATTTGGTGAATATTTTGAGTTTGCTTCCTTTCCTTCATTGTGCGCACCTATTTGATTTCTTTAGTTTTAGATAAACTAGTTATTAATTTCTCTAACCTTAAACACGCATATTAGCAATAGTAATCTGATCAACTAAATATCTTTGTTCGTGGTCCCAGCGTCCTGCTTTAATACCATTTCATTCCATGGAATTGCGGCTGATTGATGGTGAGGGTAATTGGGAGCTTCGATTGATCAAGCAGTGAGTTTACTAAAGTAGTGTTGCTGCCTGGACTCCGTATACTATTTGATATGTTGTCGAGTCTAGCACTTGCTGGCTATTTGCAAGCATAAAATAGGTTTTCCAATAAAGGTCAATCCTATTTACTTTTATTTTGTGTTTACCATATTCTCCAAGCTTCAATGTTTACTCCATGGACTTGTGGGGGCGAACAAACTCAAACAGTCAAAATTGTTGATAATAAGTTCGAGCAAGGAGCCGTTGCATGATCTCTGCAGTATATAGTGATCAATCATGTACAGGTTTTTTTCCCTTTCTTAGGTAGTTGATATTGATTCATATGTTGTAGCCATTGGATGTAATGATTAATATTTATATATTTTTTTATCAATAAAACAGCAGGAAAGAAGAGAAGCTCTTACAGAGATATTTTGTTGCCTTCAAAAAATCCCATGCAGTTGTGTAAGATTGAGTTTCCTTTTCTTATCTTCTTTACTCTATGCAATCTGAGCTCCTTTCATCCCATCCCTCGGTGTTAGCTTCAATGCTCCGATGTGGCAATGTTGTATATAATTGTATTACTTGGGGGACTCGAGAAATCTCCCTTGTGATATGAAACTGATAATCTAATTCTTGGTAAACTTTTGGAGACATAGCTAGAATAGAACCTTAGAATCCTGGTCTTGAGTTGGATATTTTAGTATGCGAAATTTGTATCTCTACTTTAGTTCGTTGGTTAACAGAAGTGGTATATATCAGCATCAACCGTAGACATCTGATCGTTCAATGTTCATAAGCACGACTATATGATCCTTAACCCCACAAGCGTTATCTTTTGGCCAATTTTAATTTTTTGCCAATCTTGCTAACTTTTAAACCACGAGGCCTAACCCTTTTTTTATTCCTTTTTCTGTTTGGTAATTAATAATGAGAGCAAGTATAAATTACTTCAAGGATATTGGTTATGGCACCAACAACATGCATAAGATTTTGATGGGGAAGTAGATATTTACTCAGAGGATGGTCTCCGGCTTTGCTATTCAACTAAGTCCGGGGAGGTTATTCAACTAGTCCCTGGGTGATTGTATAATTTTTTGCGTAGATTTAATGTACCCAAGTTAAGTATTTTAAGTCAATTGTATAAATTTTTTTTTTTTTTTTGGGGGTAAGCAGTCAATTGTATAATTTTTTTTTTTTGTAAATAGTCAATTGTATAATTAATTATAATAAATGGGGAATGTTATATTTATTATTATTATTTTTTTTTTGTAAATTATTTATTATTATTTTAGCCTTACTACTCTTACTACTCTTTCAACTGTTGATTTCAAATTGATTTAATTGCTACCAATTCGATAATAAAAGTAGTAAAGTTAAAATGATAGTAAATATAATTGTCCCTCTAATAAATTATGGTAACTATTTATTAATTAATTATAGCAATTTTCTATTAATTAATGATGTGATTGGTTTAGTATACTTAATTTGGGTGCGATAAATTTTATGTAGTCCTTCTCATGTCTTTTATTGGATTAGTTGACTTCCGACCAAATTTGTCTGCCAAAAGTTATTTGAATACATGGACATGCCTATGTAAACTTGCATTGACCTTTGGATTATATTAATGTTTTCAATTTGCTAGAGTCTGATGCTGGGAACTTGTAAACCTCTTTTACTAAACTATAATAAGCTCATTACTTTTTCTTTTCTTTTTTTTGATAAAAAGGGAGGGCCCCCAAAGAAACTATATTAAAAGCTGGTGCATGTTTAAAGTGACATGCTTAGTCAGCAAATTTGTACAGAAAGTATCCCAAACAGTTAAAATGCTAACAGGAGGAGAAGGAAAAAACAATAATTTTTCTCCCTGTTGATTGAATCCTAATTTTTCTAATCTATCTGCACATTCATTTACTTCTCTAGGTAAAAAAATTCAAAGGATTTGATCAAAACCCTGAGCAGCTCTTCTGAGTCTGTCAACTAAGGAAGTTAAGCCGCAACTATCATCTTGATTCTCCACACAAAAGAGAGCTTATTTGTTGTCACATCCTAGCTAAATCTTTGAGTATTTTCTATCTCCAGTTATCAGTAGACCTTGCAAAATTCTCCATAATTCAGCTTCTAGAGAGGAACAAATCCCTATCTTCAAAGTAAAACCTCCCAACCATTCTCCATATGGTGAGACCATAAAGCCCCCCCACACTCCAATATTGGAATGTAAGTGAACAGCGCCATCAACCTAGATTCTGATTACATCATGTGCTATGTATTGTCCACTTTCTGTCGAGTTTAAATTTGCAGATGGCCTTAGCAAAAAAGGATCATTGGAGCTGTTCTTCTTCATATCAGCCAAGTAATTTAGAATTCTGCAAATTGGATCTGGAGGCCAAGAAAATAAAACCTCATGAATAGAGGCATTTCCCCATTGCCATAAAAACCAGCATGTTACAAAGAAAACTTCTTTCCAAGAATGCCAGAGACTGGTTGAGAAAGGTTTATCCAGATTCAATCTAAACCATTATAGTCCTTCTTCAGTCATGAAAGTACTAGGGATATTTCCATAAAACCATTTTTCCCATACACTTCTTGCAGCCTTACAATCTCTCAGAGTGTGAAGAATAGTCTCTGGACCTTTGTAACAAATGGGGCATTGAGATTCCCCTCCACTCCAGTGGCATGTAATGTTTCTAATAGGGAGTTTGTTGAGACAAGCCAGCCATAAAAAAACTGCTATCCTGTACGGTCCTCTCCATTTCCAAACAGCACTCCAGATTCTATCTTTTCTGGCATCTGTCTCCATTAAATGACAGTAGGCATTCTTCACAAAAGAGTTTCCTGAAATTCTTTTTTTCCAATTCAATCAGTCATCTGGTTCACTCAGATTAGGAGGGGGTATGTTGTTCATTTTCTTTAGAGCATTTTCATCAAGAAACTTCCTCAAATAACACCAGCTCCACTCTCCTGTATTCTGATCTACAACTTCAAATACTTTTAGATCCAGATCAGTGATAAGAGGTTTAATTAAAGCCAGCTCAAAAAGACTTTGCTGCCAACCTCCCCATTCATCCTGCCAGAATAAGGTGTCTTTACCATTGCCTATCACCCATTTTGTATGCTGAGCCATCTTCTCTCTAGCTGTGCAGATGTTCTTCCAAAGAGTTGAGTCACTCTTTTTTGCAATCATGCTTCGTTTGGGGTTCTGCTTTCTGCCATATTTACCAAGCAAGACCTGGACCCAAAGGCTTTTTTGATCATTGGCAATTTGCCAAGCAATTTTCTGCATAAATGCTTCATTCTGGATCCTCAAATTGATGATACCAACACCTCCACAATCCTTAGGGTAGCACAAGTGATCCCATGCAACATAATGAGCTCTCCTTTTGGACTCAGAGTCTCCCCAAATTAAATTCCGTTGTAACTTCTCAATATCCTGGTAGACATAGGCAGGAAGGATATGGTTTTGCATATGGAAACAGGGAATGGCAGATATGACACTCTTAGCCAAAGTAATTCTGCCTGCCAAAGATAAACATTTAAATTTCCATCCTTGCAGTCTGCTTTGCACTCTGGAAATCACATCAGCATAGTGATCTCTCTTGGTTCTCCCATGCCTCATCAAAACTCCCAAATGTCTACCAAGGTTCCCAACCTTTTTAAAACCACTTATAGTAGATATGGCATCCACGATATCTTGAGGAGTATTTTTAGAGAAAAAAATACAAGATTCTCTATACTCACACACTGTCTAGACATACTAGAGAATTTCTGTAAACAGTTGATGATACTATTTAACTAGTTAATAGAGGACTCAGCAAATAATAAGATGTCATCAGCAAACATTAAATGGGATACAAGTGGTCCAGATTTACCAGCTTTAATAGGAAGCCAATTCTTCATCTCCACTTCATCCATGATTAGGTGAGTTAGTTTCTCCACACAAAGCACAAAAAGATAAGGGGATAGGGGATCCCCTTGTCTTATTCCCCTTTGAGACGAAATCCAGGAGTACGGGTCCCATTCCACAGCACCTCAAGAAAAGGGCTTGTTACACATCCCATTATAACATCAATCATAGCTGCTGGCAGATCTAGCTCTTCCAGGACTGATCTTATGAATTTCCGTTGAGCTTGTCATAAGCTTTTTCTAAATCTATTTTGATTGAGAAAAAACTTTTCCTACCCTTAATCCTATGCATTGAGTGAATAAGCTCCTGTGCATTTATTATGTTGTCTTGTATATGTCTCTTTGGAACAAAGCTGGTCTAGTTTGGAGATATAATAGTCCCCAAGAGAGGTTTAATTTTATTGGCTAGAATCTTACTGAGCCCCTTATACAAAGAGTTGCAGAGTGCTATAGGCCTAAACTGCCTCATCAAGCAAGGTCTGTCAGTTTTAGGGATTAGAACAATCAAAGTCTTGTTGATTTCTCGAATCTGATCTGGATGCTGAAGATAATACTGCATACTAGAAAAGATTTGAGCTTTAATTAGACCCCAGTTCCTTTGATAGAATAGTGCTGGAAGTCCATCTGGTCCAGGGGCTTTTAGGGGAGGCATTTGAAAAAATGCATTCTTGACTTCCTCAAAGGATATATTCAGAGACAACATATCAAGGTGGTCCTCCTTTATTGCTGGCCAGCTGTTTTGAGTTTGACTCCATACAAGAACTGCAACATCTTTCTTAAACAGGTTCAAGAAATAACCTCTAGCAAGTGAAACTACTTCCTCTTCTCCAGACACCCATCCACCCTTTTCATTCTGGAGTTTAAGAATTTTATTTCTTTTTCTGCGAATCAGAGTGCTAGTGTGATAGAAACGAGTGTTTCTGTCACCATCTCTAATCCACTCCCCTCTAGATTTCTGATACCAAATTTGCTCCTCTTGGTCTAGGATTTCATATAGCTCCTTCCTCAACTTAGTTTCCAGCTCTTCAAATTGGACACTGTTTTTGAAACTTAGTTGTCTTTGGATGCCTTCCATACGAGCTATTACTCTATTTTTCCTGTGAAAAGTGAAACCAAAAGTATTCTTGTTCCACTCTTTTAGCAAATGGATGAATTTCTCCACACTTTCCAGTAGGCTAGTTGAAGAATTCCAATTAGATTTTAGGAACTGGCTAAATCTAGGATCATTTTGCCAAGTTGCCAAAAACCTAAAAGGTCTTTCCCTCCAAACAGAATCCTCTTTCTCCATTCTAATGAGGATTAGGCAATGATCCGAGAATAGCTTAGGAAGAACCAAGACATCAGCCTCCTCAAAACTTGCTCTCCATTCTTCATTTGCAACAGCTCTGTCAAGTCTTTTGTATACTCTATCTAGATGGAGGAATTTAGGTCATTTCCATGTGAACCTATTGCCTCCACCCCCAAGTCCAAAACCCCACAAGATTCCAAAACATTGTTAAACCTATTACATCTGTTAACATCCACTGG